TCTGGAGTGTGTCTCTCTCTTTTTTTTTTTTTTTTTAATGCAAGCGAGCAGGAGCGATTGCATTTCCCCCTCGCTCTCAGGAGTAAATTATCTGGTGGTTGCATTACTGCCGGCAGCCAGAAAGAGGGGGCGTTTTCTTCCCTTTTGTGCAAATTGGCTCTGGGCAGAGTGGTAAAGGGACCGACGAGAGCAGAAGGGAACTTGCTGGCCTGCTCCCAAGAAACAGTGGACATAGCTCCCCCCTCCAGAGCATGTGTCTGGGGAGAGAGGATTGGTTTCAACTGCTTTTGTATTTACACCCTCCCCCTTTTTTGTGGGGGAGGGGAGAATAAGTGATGCTGTATCTGAGATGATCCAAGTAAAAATTTGGAAACCTTGTGAGGCCTTTCTTGTGTCTGTACTGAGCCTGCGAGTAGGGATATTAAATATCGGTTAATTGAATCGTCGATTAACCTCATGAATTCTTATCGGTTACTTGTCTATTCGATAGTCCCCAGGGGTAGGGGTGGGGGCGGGGCCCGCAGCCAGTGTGCTCCAGCCCCACTTCTTAGGAGCCCCCTGTCACTCCACGCTGCTGCCTCTGTATCGGAGGCAGCAGCGCAGGGTGCCGGGGGGTTCCACTTTAAAAAACAGCTCCCCTCGTGAACTGGCTGCCTGTCTCTCCGCACTGCTGCCTCTGATACAGAGGCAGCAGCACTGGGTGATAGCAGCCCCTGTCCAGGGTGGGCTAAGCTCCTGGAGCCAGAACTGAGCTAGGCTGCCTGCCTGCCTGGCTCCTAATACACTTTAAATACAGAGCTGCAGCAGGAGTAGGTCCCAAACCCAGGACTGATCTGGGCTGCTGGCCAGCCTGCTAAAAAATTTACTGCTGGGGTGGAGGGGAAGAATGCGTGTAATCTATAGCATTAACCTATAAGCATTTGCTTATCGGTTAATGGACGACACTATTACATCCCTAACTGGGAGATGATTCCAGAAGCACAGGGGCTGGTCTGGGTGTTTTATCCTTCCACTGGTTTTCGAAAAGCAGGGTGGGGGCGGAGCAGCTTAGCAGAAGGAGGCTGGAAATGTTAGAGGGGTGATTAGTGCTTAGTTCTGATGAGAAGCTAATGGGGGGGCGTGCCTAGATCCCCAACTCACAGAGGCTACATCTAGACTCCAGAGTTCTTCTGGGATTCCAGAAGTCTCCCGGAAAAACTGCCAGGTCCAAATTTTTTTGGGAAGAACAGACACCTTTTTTCAGCATCCCTGTACACCTCGTTTCACGAGGAAGAAGGGATGGGCCAAATGTCGGAAAAGCCTCTAAGAAGGAACACACATGGCGGTTTGCAATCGGCGTTCCATTTTCCGGAAAAAGAACGTCATCTAGACAGTGTCACTCCCGGCTGCCCTAGGATCAGTCTGGTGAATGCTGTTGGCTTTAGCGGTTGTTGCACTTTCCAGGCTCCAGCCTGGCTGGTCAGCTGCATACCCAGACTGCTTTAATCCAGGGCAGGAGCTGCTGCCTGCCTCCACGGACCTCTTCCTGCATTTGGGGCACTTGCCCTCTGCTATGTTTAAACCCACCAGCTGCAGGTGGAGGTGACACGCTTGGCGCAGATCCTGTGCAGGATACGTGGACCCCGGCAAATATTTAGCAAACTGGCCCCAAGGAGATTAGCCCTATAGCCCACTAGCAGCAATGGGGCCATGCAAGTCTCAGAGCTGCACCAGGGAAGAATTTGGCCCATAGATAGGCTGGGAATTGGATTAAGGCCTCTCTCCTTTCATTTCTTGAGACCCGGCCGTGACTCCTCTTTAAAGGCAGGGTCCTGCCATGGGAGTGAAGTTTGCCTTAGACGAGGGATGTTAAATGTCGGTTAATTGAATTGTCGATTAACCTCATGAATTCTTATCGGTTACTCGACTATTCTGTAGTCCCCAAGGGTGGGGAGCCAGTGCACTCCTGCTCCGCCCTGCTGCCTCTGATACACTCCTAGCCGCCGGGCTTCCTGCACAGCTGCAGAAGGGGTAGGTCCCAGAGCTGGTGCAAGCCAGGACTGACCCACCTGCTAAAACATTTACTGGGGGTGGGGGGAATGCATGTAGTCGATAGCATTAACCGATACGCTTTTGTTTATCGATTAATCGACTGTACTATTATATCCCTACCTTAGATGCCAGTATAAAAACAATTGTGGGTTTATTTCCTTCACCCCATGGCCACGGTGGCCATCACACCCTCCTGCACCACAGCTGGTCTCTGCTCCAGGGGCACCTGGGACTTGACCAAGACTGAGGTGTATTGGCTGGGGGGAGAGGAAGCCTGCACAATGCCTGCGGATTAGAGCATTAGCCAGGCCTGTGTTTACTTTGCTTTCCGGAGAAGCAAATTCCTCTTCCCCCAGCAACATTCCAAAGGCCAGAGACTTTTGCTTGTCGGTGTTACATGAACACTCCCCCCTAATCAGAGTCAAAAGGCTGTAGAGCAGACTCATTATTCTCTCTGTAAGGTGGTCTTGGTGCCTCTAGATGGGACAGTACATCACACCCAGCAGGTGTGTGGCTTACACTTGGAGCGGGGCTATGAGGAGTGGTGGACTGGGCCGTTGGCTACAGCGTCAGTGTAGGCAGGGGGTGTGAGAACCTAGTGGTACCCACTTAAAATAGCACAGTGTGTGGGGTCTGATTCATCCCTGAGGCAAACATGGTGGCTTCAGGGCAGTAACACCCGTCCCAGTGGGTTTCTGTGGAAGTAACAGAACACAACTCTCGTGACAGTGCCTGCAAATTGCTGAGCATTGGATCATGTTAAGAGAGCAAGGGGCAGTTTGCTGAGTCCTGGGTCAGAATTTCCTGCTGTCTACCTGCCCCGTCCATGGAATATGGAGGTAAACACAATTTATGAGGGGCTAGCTCAAGTAGCACTGGATCTCACTGGGTAATAAAAATGTTGTGTGCAGTTGCAAGTGTGTGTGCCCAGCATTGGCTGGATCCCAGCCTTTCTTATGAAGTACCCTTATAAATTATGTTCAAACCTTGTGCCAGTCACTACAATGAGGGTTATTTGCCTATAAACACAAGGACACAGAGAAGCCAGTAGAGTCCCTGGGACATTATACAAATGAGCTTTATCTAAGAACAGCAACAAGATTTGTTTTAACATGGCTTTCCTTTTACCAGCCAGCAGGAAAGTGGCCTGCCTCAGAACAGTGGCCCTGCCCGTAGTAGAGTCAAATTCCCAGGAGCTTGGTTAGTATAAAAGCTGTTCCATGTACCCCCATTTTAAAATAGCACTAAGCTCTTTTCTTTGGGAAGACAGAAATGTGGCACAGGGATAAACCTGTCTCATTTCAGCGAACCAGAACATGCCCTACCCACCATTATCTAAGATCAGCACACTTGGCATCTATTTCAAATGGAGAAATAATCCATTTGGTTTTCAATATATGTTCCAGTGAGAAGTGCACATGCTGAAGAGACAGAAGAATCGTCTGAAGAAATGAGGACTCGTGGGTGAAAGTGATGTCTTCCACTTAAACTCCAGGGTTTTTTTAAATGTATTAAAAGCTGTTTCAGGTGCTATCTTCTTGCCTGTTTGTGATTTCATAAGCACATTTTCCTTAAAAATATTTCTCACCCCCTACTTCTGAGGAGGCAGGCAAGGGCCGTAACAGGGAAACTGAAAATGCCAAGTAAGCAAAGTACCACTAGCCTCTGCAGATCTCAATCAGCAGAAAACATGGGGTTTAGTCAAAGCCACTGTAGGGCTGATTTTCCAGGGCTGCAAACTAGCCGGGGTGAGTTAGTCCTTTCCTATTTCCTTTGGCTGCATCTAGACTGGCAAGTTTTTCTGCAAAAGCAGGTGCTTTTGTGTAAAGACTTGCCAGCTGTCTACACTGGCCGCTTGAATTTCTGCAAGAACACTGACGATCTCATGTAAGATTGTCAGTGTTCTTGCGGAAATGCTATGCTGCTCCCGTTCAGGCAAAAGCCTTCTTGTGCAAAACAATACCGCGTTGTCTACACTAGCCCTCTCGTGCAAAAGCATTTGCAGAAAAAAAGCCCCAATGGCGAAAAGGGCGATCGGGGCTTTCTTGCACAAAACCACGTTTAGTTTGGCACAGATGCTTTTCCGCAAAAAGTGCTTTTGCAGAAAAGCATCCATGCCAATCTAGATGCTCTTTTCCGCAAATGCTTTTAACAGAAAAACTTTTCCATTAAAAGCATTTGCGGAAAATCATGCCAGTCTAGACGCAGCCTCTCTGTTTGGGCAGTTTTGGCTGTTACTTTTAGCAGTAAGTCTTTCACATGCAAGTGTAGGGTGGGGTGTGTTTTTTTTAAAAAAGTGGAATATTTCCTTTTGGGGTGTTGCAAAGGAAACAAGTTCTCTCGGTGCAAGTTTCTGTAAATTATTGACTTGCATGTACATTTCAAAACTTTCTATCACTGTAGTGTCTGGTCCTAGGAGCCCTTGTCATGAATGAGCAATTTAGTTTATTATGAAGGTGTGTCATCTCATTTTACCCACTATCCTATGACAAATGTCTGCATGTGATCAGTGCTAGAAATGGGTCTGAGGAAGTGGGTCTGGCCCACGAAAGCTCATCATCTAATAAACCATCTTGTTAGTCTCTAAAGTGCTACATTTTGCTTCTGCATGTGATCATAAATACTAGTAGGGCAACTATATTATTTCACTTCTTTAATTTGCCCTCTAGATGTCACTCTATTGTTCAATGCCACTTAATTGGGCTAAAACTTTTTCTAATCAGCCATCTGTTTCAGCAGCAGGATTCATTTGACCGCCTCCTGCTTGTTACTTTTGTTATGTTGAACTTAAAGCTTGTCAAGCCATTTCAGTAATATGAACCTTTGCCCTAGGAATGAAGGGAAGGGAAGGGTGTAGAGTAAAGATTTTGATTTGCAGGAGTATTGTAAGTAAGCACAGTTGATTGGCTTGACTCCAGGTGTTTTTGATAATGCTGAGACAACGAACTAAAGACAAACCCAGAACCAGATACTTTTTTAAAAAGTTTTATTTTGTAGAAAAATAGTAAACTTAACACAGTGTAGAAAACACTTGGATACAGTTTTGTTCATGTCCAGGACACAGACTACCCTACATAAAGTGCCTATTTTAAATGCTTCTCTCTCCAAAATCAGACAAGACAAATGTAAACAAAAGTCAGTTTTTGACCCCCACCCATCCACGTCTGCTTCCGTAAGAGAGGCCAGTGGAGGGGCCTGCCAGAAGTTTGCAACAGCCCAAAGTGTCCGCCTGCAGCAATCCTGGCTCATAGAAATGCACGCAAACACACACGCCAAAGCCCCTTGCTAGAGCTCAACGTTGGCTGATTTCTCAAGTCCAAACCATCTTGTCCCACCCCAAGTCTCTTCCATAAGGCAATGCGCTGGCCCTCGGTGGCAAAGTCAATGTCAATGTCTTTCCACTCCCAGGCTCAACATTTGTGCTCAAAGTCCTCCATCTCTCACCCTTCCAGGGGGAGGGCATCCCCAGCAGCAGCCCTCCCATTGCTCCCCAAAAGTGGGTCTATTTGAGGACAGCCAATGCAAATCATCCCCCCCTGGGCAGGAGGTAACCTGCCCCCAGGGCAGATGTCACTCCTGGGCAGCCAGAGTTTGTTATGAAACAAGCTTCCCTCCCTCCCCGGCTCTCTCCCTTCTGAAAAGGCAGGGGAGGGGGCGGCAGGAGGCTCCTAGCTGATCACACAGCGCTCCTTGTCTTTGGCTTGCCTGCTGCCGATGGCCTTCTCCCGGATGTACATGAGGTCGCTGTGCACGCTGGGCCGGCGGGCAAAGGGGGCCACGATGCCATGGGCTTCCCCTCCACTGCCCTCAGCCCCTTCCTTCAGCAGCTTCTTGCTCTTGAGCGCGTTCTTGTGCAGCATGTCGCAGTACTGCACCGAGACCTTGCGGTGCAAGTCCGGACTCATCTCGCTGGGCAGCTTGGCCATGGCAAAGAGGGCTTGGAACATCTGGTCCAGGCTGCTGTTCTTCTTGGCCGAGATCTCAAAGTAGGCACATTTTTTCGGGTCTGGCCCGACCAATTGCTCTATCTCCCGGGCCTCAACTTCCCGGTAGAAGTCTCGATCGCCCTTGTTGCCACAGATGACCAGGGGCACCTCCATGTTCTCCTTGGTCTTGTTCTTCAGGCACGACTTGGTCTCTAGGATCTGCTGCTTCAGCCGCTGCACCTCCTCGAAGGAGTCCCGGTTATCTAAGCTGAACACCAGGATAAAGACGTCGCCTGCAGAAGAGAGGGGGCACAGAGGGAGGCCACGTTAGAACCTGATTCTGGATGGAGGCAGAGCCCAGTTCCCAGTCAGCCCCCCAACTTCAGCCCTTTTTCTAAGTGCTGTCCATACACTACCTACTGCCCTAGAGGGTGGTTTCAGGATTCCAAAGGGAGCAGAGGGTCTCGAAAAAAAAACCCACCAAAATCCAGGCTAGGTAATTTATACACGGACCCTAATTAACCCTGGCACCCGACTGGGCGCTTTGCATTTCCCCCTTTATTTCCTAAGCAAACCTGGGAGCAAAGTTTGCAAACTTGGCTGCTTGCTGGGTTTGCATGCGAATTCCGGCCTGGGTGGAGGGACTGGGAGGGGTTCTGTTGGGGAGAGCAGCAGCCCAGCTGGGCTTTTAGATTTACATTGCAGTGGGGGGGGGGGGGGGGGGGAGGGGGAGAGACATGAGCGGCTCACAAGCTGCATGGGTGGGAGGTGCAGCCACACCGCCTGGCTTGAGAGTTTCCATCACATACAGGGCTTAACAGTTTGGTTCCAGGGCTCTCCACCAGCCCCTCTGCTTGGGTGTTGGGTAAACACCCCCCAAACCCATCCTGACTTTGGCCGCTTTCCTAACATCCCTCTACAAGGGGGAGAAGTAGCCCAGAGAGATTTCCTAGCAGGGACTCCCCCCAGGATCTCAGCGGGCAGTAGGGGAGGGGCACAGGGCGAATTCCCAGGGCTGTCTCTCCCCCCCCCCGGACCAGGGCACAGGGCGAATTCCCAGGGCTGTCTCTCCCCCCCCAGGATCTCAGCGGGCAGTAGGGGAGGGGCACAGGGCGAATTCCCAGGGCTGTCTCTCCCCCCCCAGGATCTCAGCGGGCAGTAGGGGAGGGGCACAGGGCGAATTCCCAGGGCTGTCTCTCCCCCCCCAGGATCTCAGCGGGCAGTAGGGGAGGGGCACAGGGCGAATTCCCAGGGCTGTCTCTCCCCCCCCAGGATCTCAGCGGGCAGTAGGGGAGGGGCACAGGGCGAATTCCCAGGGCTGTCTCTCCCCCCCCAGGATCTCAGCGGGCAGTAGGGGAGGGGCACAGGGCGAATTCCCAGGGCTGTCTCTCCCCCCCCAGGATCTCAGCGGGCAGTAGGGGAGGGGCACAGGGCGAATTCCCAGGGCTGTCTCTCCCCCCCCAGGATCTCAGCGGGCAGTAGGGGAGGGGCACAGGGCGAATTCCCAGGGCTGTCTCTCCCCCCCCAGGATCTCAGCGGGCAGTAGGGGAGGGGCACAGGGCGAATTCCCAGGGCTGTCTCTCCCCCCCAGGATCTCAGCGGGCAGCAGGGGAGGGGCACAGGGCGAACTTGCCCCGGCCCGAAGCGGCCCGTACCTGTGAGGATGGAGAGGCGGCGCATGGCGGGGAAGGGGTGGTTGCCCGACGTGTCCAGGATGTCCAGCTGGTAGACCTCGCCGCGGATGCTGTAGAACTTGCGGTGGAAGTCCTCGATGGTGGGCGTGTACTGCTCCTCGAAGCGGCCGCTCAGGAAGCGGGAGACGATGGCCGTCTTGCCCACCTTGGAGGAGCCCAGCACCACCATGCGGTAGCAGTTCTTGGCCGGGATGTTCAGCTCGCTCTCGCTCTGGCACAACTTCTTGATCATGGCGGCGGGGCTCATGGGAGGGGGGCGGGGCGAAA